CCCAAGAGGCTGACTGCCCCTCCAGCCCTGACAAGGCACAGTGCTGAGGCTGGGAGGCACCAAGGCTGGTCGGCTCCAGTGTGGTAGCTGGGCTGCAGCCCCACTGTGGGAGCCTCCTGCTGCCCAGGGGAGCAAGGCTTCCCCTTCGGAGTCTCTGTGCATGTCACATTGCAGCCTTAGGAGCAGCCAGCCATGTCATCTCTTCTAAGCTGATTTGAAAAGCACACAATCTGTAAACCTTCCCAGGGACTCTTCCATCCCTATTTTTTGTTAAACACCCCCTTGAAAAATGAGAATTTTTGCATATGCAGGGCTTATTGGAATAGTTTCTAATGTTTTCTGAACCAATGCAAACAGGAAAAGCAGGGCTCAGTGCTAACTCTCCCTCATAGCTGTCCCATGTAAAGTCAGGTGTTATGGCCCTCTCCTCGGGATACCTCTGGAAAAATGTCTTGCATGTTAAAGCACCTAGAGTACTGGCATGAGATAAGTATGTAGGATTGCAGAAGGTGAGCAGCAGAGACGGGCTGATGGGAAAGGTTCTGCTGTTGCTTGAAGGGTCTCCTGTCTTCAGTCACATCAGCACTTTTTCTTGTTTTTGTGCCAAAACCAGGCAGTGTGTTGGCTGCACAGTGCATCAGGGAAACTAGACTGAAAGAAATGCAGGAAATCTCACTTTGCATCTACCCTGTTGTTGTTGTCATAATTTTCTCATGGAAATCCCCTGGCCACCGTCACTCAGACCTCTGCTCACAGTTCTCTTCTCTGCTGTCCTCAAGCCACTGAGGTGCAGAGTATCCAGCATGTTTATCTTCCTCTTTGAGAGGAATTAAGGATGTTGTAGAGCAGGCAAGATGAAGGACTAAGTAAATCCTGAGTGTGCAAAGGGAAATGAGTCCTTCATGCCTGTGCCCCCCTCCACCTTGGCAGTGTTCAGGGGTGGCTCTGGGGCAGCAGCAGAGCCTTGCAATTGTGCCTTTCCGGGCTCCCCACAGTCCTTGGCTCAGGCTGGGCTCAGCTATGCTGGGCAGGGCACAGACACTGAACAACAGTGCAGTGGTTGTACAAACTGCTCCCTGTTGCTCACACAGCGCTGCCATGCCTGGATAACCTCCCTTTTTCCCTGGAAAAAACCCTTCAGGCTGCTGACACACTCTGTGGCAGACTCCAGAAAACATGATGTGGAGGGCTGCCTCTCCCCTTGCCTCCCATCCCTTCCTCCCTGGCACAATTGCCCGCATTATCCCGGCATTTCATTCCGCAAAAGGAAAAGCAGTGGGTTGGTTTGTCACACAAAGCCTGAAGGAGCTCAGCTCCCTGGTTGCCTGGCTCTGTGGAGTGGCTATTTTTAGCTTTCCATCTCGCTGCTTGCGCGAGCATCCCAAATCTACTGCAGCCATTTGCCCGCACACCCCGCGGTGCTGCCCAGCATGTCCTACTTACGGTCTGAAATTCACAGTAGCATCAGAGGATGAAACCAGAAGCTTGTAAATATCTGTAATATATTTATTAATATTTAGGAAATCTCCATCAATCATGCAGTGGGAATTGACTTTCCTATGTTGTTTTAAAAAAGGAAATGAGTCTTATTTATATGTGTGTTGGCTGTTATCTTTTATTAGAGTTGATGCTTTCAGCCCCCTAATGCAGTTTGCACTCAAGAGGCATCCTGGACTGAATTACTGCTGAAACAAATGCAGGACTAGCACAGTGAGCTCCCTTCCATGAATTTTTAAATTATTTTCATTTTTTTTAGCTTTATTAGTATGCCCAAAGTTTGTTTAAATATGTCATAGGAGACCCAAGGAGCTAAAAATGCCTCTGGCAGCATCAGTCTTGTTTTGTACGTGAACCTGGTTGTGGGGAATGCAAAACCAGCTCTGCCTCACGGAGGCAATGGAGGACGTGAGCAGGCCTTTGGTGCAGCTCTCAGACCTGATCTTTCAAGTGTTCATGGTGACAGTAGTGTTTTGGGAGGTTGTTGTGTTTTTTTCTCTTTCCCCATTACTTCCTTTATACATGGAGGAGTGTTACCTGGTGAAAATAAAATGCCTTTCCATTATAACCTTTGTCTGTGTTAATTATTCGTGTGGAAGCTGATTTAAAGGTTCTGTCTCTCTCTTTTTCGCGCTTTTATAATTTTGTAAGATCAGTCATGTTTCTTTTGGCAAAGAATTGTTAATGAAAATGATTGCATAACAGCTGAACACGGGCTGGGCTGCATGAAGGGATGGAAACATGTCAAGTACCCTTAGAATAGCAATAAAACTGCTTGTGTAACCCCAGTGATGTGATTTAGCTCCTAGTCATCATTTCCAGCCAAATCCCTCTGTTACCAATGTGCTGCTTCTTCCAACACTGGCAGGCTGTACCTGAGGCAGCGTGCTTGTCCTGCATGTGGTACAGGCTTTGGGAGATCTCCATCCCTCCCTCATCATTGGGCGAGAAATGGTGGCAGTCTTTTGGAGGAGTTTTGGATGGATTGGTTTTAGTTTTTAAACCAGAAGTAGAGACATTTTTATCAACTATTACATTATTCTCTCCCAAGCTTCCCTCTTTCCCCAGGCAAGTTCAGCATCAATCCCCTGGTTAATACTGGCTGCATGCTCTATAGGTTAAAACTAATTTAGAAGCTCCAGCTTTAAGCTCCTGATTGCTACCTTCATGCTTTACCTCATCTAGCAGCTCTGTACACCATTTAGGAATGTCTTTCTTACGAGCTCAGTCTCATCTGTGAAACAGTGACAGCACACAGGCATGAGGGAACGGTGCTGCAACTGGTGCTACAGCATATAGATTATGTTCATGTTATCAGAAAATTTTATACTATCGCCATGTTCATAACTTGGAGCTGCTCTGGTTTATTTCCTCTTTTGTACGTGTGTACCTTAAGGCCAATCTGAGAATGTTTATGAATAATGATTCCAGTTATAAAAACCTCTATTGTTGTTTCTGTCTGATTTTTACTACCGTGTTTCAGCTTTTTTTTTTTTGGGTACCTGAAATTACTATTCACAGGAAATTTCCTGGTAGGAGAACCATGACAGAGGGGCATTGGCTCAGCCTGACGTGATACACAGACACAGAAACCCCTTCCTAGTGAGTGGCCTTTCATAAGCACTTCTTTCATGGCAGCTCCATTGAATCCTGCGCCCCAGTCCTCTCCTGCTGGGAGCTGAGCAGCACCCATGAATTCCAGCAGCCCATGACAGAGGCAGTTTGTGGCCCTCTCTGTGCCCACACTTTGATGTAGAAAAATCCCAGAGACGTTCATGTTCCTCAGTTGATCCAGCACAAGCCGTGAGCTTGTCCATGACCCATGTCCCCAGGTCACCATCTGCAAAAACAGGGACTTCAGAGTGGCTACAACTGTTTAAAGAATTTTGAGAGTTGCTGCTGAAGAGCTGAGTGCTCAGTGTCAGAGCTGAAAGGGTCCTGCAGTGCTTTCACTACTTGAAAGCAATTAGCACCACTTCCAGGTGAAAGGAATTCCAGAGAGTTTAAACTTCATAAGCAAAGACTTGTGAATGAATTTGACCATGGTAGATCTGCACTCAGCAAATGTCATGGGGCATTATCAGGAGATGGAGCTAAATAGGTATCAAGTAGACACAGCAAATTTTACACAGCAGTAGCTTAGTTTGTTTATTTGCACTAAACTAGAATTCAGTAACTTTCCAGTTTCTTCTCTGGTTGGGCTGTTTTGCAACAGCAGTGCCTGGCTGAACTGAGTGTCAGATACACAGGTATTCTGGGCTCTGTGTCCTGAAGTAACAACCAGTTGTTGAAATGGTTTCTGTAGAATATTTCTAGAGGAAGCCCTTTGGAACAGACCCTTTGGAATAGACCTTACTATAGCTAGTTAAAAAACACATTTGTAAGCAGATAGACTTCCAAGGTGCCAAGCTACTACTGTCAGCTCACAGCTGAAAAAGACCTGTTTGATTATTGACATTCAGTTAAAACAAAAAGTGCATCCAGTATGAAAAAAAACCCCACATAATCTTCATGCCTCCCATGCTGTAACGTTTCCACAAAGCTTCAGGTCCTCCCTGCATTTCTCTAACCAGTCACATCAGTGCTTAACAGTGGGAATGAGCAATGCTTTGGCTTTTGCAGGACAGGCTGTAGGCCAGACATTGCAATGTGTTAAACTGGATTTCAGAGGCTGCTAAATCTAGAATTAAAGGACATGGGCATGAGTTGATGCAACTTCTGCAGAAGGCTGGCTTCCACATTTCAGTGGAAATGAGCACCAGTTAAGCTGACACAGGTCTATAGAGAGGCAGCCAAGGCCCAGCTTCAGCTTAGATATTTAAGATGAGCATGTTTCTATTGAAGGGGCTGGTGGTTACATTACCTGTGAATCAGAAAGCAAAACAAAAATAGTGAGGAGTGTATTTGAGCTTTATTCTGTTAAAGCTGGTTCCCCTTCCCCAATGCCCTTCTTTAATAAAGGAAAACCCAAACAGGAGATGCACTTTTTGGACATGAACAGGCCCAAAGCACAAACCCTTCATCTTTGAACTTCTCCTGCTTCTGTGCTGTCACTGTGCATGTACTGTCTGTGTGGCTTCAGGTACATCAGGGGCATCAGCTCTAACAGAGAAAGGCAACAGAATTGTCATCCTGTTTTCATGTTATGTGGTACTGAAATGCAATTTCGTGTTTATGCATTACTAATAAAAAGCTCTTGGATATTACTGCATTACTCTCACTTTCTTGAGCAAACTGTAAAGTTGATGAGCATCATTCCTTACAGAGCACAGCGGGCAAGGGCATGTTCCACATTTGTTTGGCCAGGTAGAGCCCTGAACCTCAGCTGCTGCAGATCTTAACTAGGTCAGAGACAAAACTATAGTGAAGTAAAAGGGAAGGTATTGTACCAGCAGGACCCCAGATTAGGACCATTTCTGATCACTTTACTTGCAGGTGCCTTCCAGTTAAATGAGAATCATACCTCAATCACCTCAGCTGTGGAAAAATTAAAAGGACAGGACTTGTGCTTCACAAAAATGCCTTTTCATTGGACGAATCCATAGTGAACGCATGACCTGCTTCATGGAGCTGCAATTAAAAGGCTTAGCCTATAACCTGCATGATCCTGACAGGTGGCGAGTAGTGTTGGTGGGGTAAGAAGATGGTTTATTAGATAAATATGGTCTTATTTACAAGTCAAGGCTAATAGTTTTAGATGACTCTTTGCTGCTTTAATGCAAAATGAAGCAGCTGCCAGTCCCAGATGGAGTCACCAGTCCACAACCAGAGGACCCCTGCAGAGCGTTTGTGATGTGTGGCTTACAGCAAGCTTCAGGGAGCCTGGTACTGGGTCCCGCTGCTCACCCAGCACGGACTAACACAAACAATTTTTCTGCAGCCTTTTCTGAAAAGCAACAGCCAATTTTATATTAAAATAGTTACACTCAGAAGTGTTTTTTTTAAACTGTGCATGACATTTACTTCAGATAGCACCATAGCGTACATAGACACTTCACAGTCCTGCCCTTCACGGCTCACAATCTAGGAAGGTGCTGTAGGAAGGGTTTTACCTACCCACTGCTCCACCTGAAGATTTGAATGAAAAGTGTCACATCAAGGAGTGTCACTGGCCATACTCGGCACTACTTAATTAGGTTGTCAGATACATCAATGCCCAGTATGTGCTATACTACAATTCCCTGCTACACGCCCCTCCTGCTGCAGGTCAGTGCCTTTGCTTAAGTTAGGCAAGTCCTTCAAGAACACACAAGTTTCACTGGGATTGCCTGTTGTGTCAGCAAATATGATCCTTCCCCCATCGCACCTGCTGACCTGATGGGGGAAAAGAAGTAAGACGCATGGAGGAGCATGGAAGATTCCCACTGGCACAAGGGCAAATCAAGGAAAAGATTAAAAGGATAGTTTACACAAAATCAATAAATTACACACCAGACCATTTGACTACACTGTTTTAAGTTAATGCCTTTTGTTGTACACAGAAGCCTGTCTACACTAGCATGAAAACCATCAACCAGAAACCAGAGTTTACCTCAAGTTTGGTATCTTCAACATCTTAAAACCCTTCAGAGCCAAGAGCTAACATGCCCCATTTGCCACATTCTGGGAACCACCACTGCCTCAGGAACCAGCTCTCCACAGCTTCTTGCTTCCACAGCAGGCACGTGCGACAGATAGAGGTACTGGGCAGTGGGAGCAGCCACATTTCCAAACAGTTTGAAGACCTGATATGCCACCACTAAATTCTTAAACCACCCCCTGCATCACAACCCTCTATACTCCCTTTCCCTTGAATTGCAACCCAGCGGCTGAGAAACACTGAACTGACAGCCTCAGCAAACAACCTCCCTCTCCCAACTAACAAAGCTGAACTTTAATTCTACTTTCAACTCCCCAAGTGCAGAATTCTTATTCAAAGTGGCACTTGTTACTATTAATCAGCATGGTTATAAGCACTGAGCTTTCTGCTTGGTCCCCAGCACCTCAAGATCCTTCCAAGTTAATGAGTGTTGACTTCACACCATTTCTGCTTGATACACTTTTTTTCCTCCTGCGTGCCCTTTTCCTCCTGCATCAAACCCAAAAGCTCCCCACAAGCAGCCTAGCACTTGCCCTCACATGCAGCTTTCCACCTTTGACAGACACCTCAGTCAATGCACATGACAAAAAACTGACTTCAGATATATTTTTTAGCCATTTCCAGTGTAGAAAGAAAAGTTGGAGGAGTTTCTCTAAGGAACCACAAAGATAAACAATTCCAAAGGCAGGGTGGTTTTTCTGCCTCAAGAGTCAACTTGGACTATAACAGTCTAAGAACTTGAGTGGGAATTGAAGTGCTGCAAAAAGTATTAAGCACAGCATACACAGCTACAGATCCCACTAGATCCCATGGAGAAGAGTCACATGGTCAAGGGAGAAGAAGGATTGGAGCCTCGTATGCAAATCAGATGGACAGAGAGCAGAAGGGTGAAACTGTCCAGGAAATCTTATCGAAAATTAAGAACCACTTGATCTGCTAAACACTGGAGCCCATCTGGTCCCAGTGTGACCACTGCTGCAAGGTCCCTTGTACACCCTGGCAATGTCCCTTGTACACAATGAGCAACCACAGGAAGAACAATAACCCCCCAGATGCATAAGTGTCACCTACCTCTAAGACAAGGTAAGAGGCAGTAGCACTGTCTGGCAGTGGAGAGAGGCAGCTGGATGACACAACTGGCCTCCAGAAAAAATTAGTCTTTTTTCCTACCCAAAGAGCTTCCCCACTACCATTTAGCCAAGAGAAAAGCAGAAGAGGACTGAGCACAAGTAGGAAAGGTGCTGATTCCTGGCAAGTGGATCAGCAGACAGATTGGAAAACTGTGTCTAGGCATACAGCTCCTAAATGGGACAAAACATAGAGCAAAAGCAGCCCAAAACCAAGAAAGTAATCCAGGAAACTGATGTGTAACTGGTATTGACCCTATGGTGTGGCAGAGAAATTCAGACCCAGAGAGAGCCTATGGTGACTTTTCTGGGAAGCCAGCTAGTGCTGGAAGGTGCTAAACACAAGTCAGTCAGCCTTAAGACAATACCAAGCAAATATTTCACTTCTGATGCAAAAAGCAGCTCTAGGCAACTCTTCTTCCAAACCAAAGCAATACATGAATCTCTCCAAACACCTTCCTACCCCTGCTGACAGTCATGTTCTCATCAGCTCCAGGAGGCATGTACAGAAATGGTGCAGCGCAGGTTTCCAAGGGCACACACACTTACTCAACTTTTCCTTTTCTTTTTTTTTGCAGAGCTCTGCCATGGCTGCACTCCCCTTCCTAGCAGAACGCCACCAGGAGCTAGAACATCTTCTGTGTTCCTTTTCCAGGAAGTGGCATCACTCCTCTGAGAAGGGGACAACAACTGACCTGCACCAAAACTATCCAGTGTATCTTCCAGAAACAGGCTGCTATCAGCCTTTAAGCTCCAAGGTTCTGTTACAAAATAAGAGGGGCTTTAGGTCCATATGAAAAGAGCAATGTAAATATCAGCTATTCATTTAATTGCTTTCAATAAATATACATATCTTTTAAAGTAGGCTTATTCATTAGGATATGTAATTTAGTTACACCCAAATTAAAGCTCAAATGAACCAGAATATGAATGCTGAAAATTCCCTTAAGCTACAGACACTTTAAAGTTACCAGATCAAAACAGTGACCAACATTTTACTCTTCTAGTTTTTTTAGAAGTTACTCATGCTCTTGAACAGCTTCCTAAGCACATGCTTACCACTTGAATGAGTAAACATCCTTGCAACATTTATTTCACTTTGTGTGCACACCAAAAAATAAGTTAAAATGCCCTAAGAGGGTTGTCTAAGAAATATATACTACATCTGGATCAAACATGACAATTTTGTAAACATCAGACAAGGCTAGGACCATTACCAATATGTATTTATGCATGTTTTATAGGAAACAGTTTCTGCAATTACTGGAGTATTTTTCCAGATAATGAGAAGCATTTAAAATGATTCTAAAACCATTTTGTAACAATGTGGAAAAGTGTTGAAAAAATTCAGTTACAGAATGCACTCAAAGCAGGAGAGTTCATTTGGTTTTCTTGTACTTGTTTTTTCCATTCAGGGAATGAAAAGTTCCTGTTTATACCATTTTGATTTCAAATTTCCTGCTCATTTCTCATTTCAACTCTTCTGGTTATTGCATCAGTTTCTCCCTCAGTTAAGACATGATGTAAAGAGCAAGGACCAGTGGAACAGCAAGGTCTCTTCATTCAAGTAGCCTACAAGTACTCTTCTTAGAGATAAATAAGTATTTTCCAGCACCTTCCAGGAATTACTACTCATGTCCTCATGGGGAGGGGAGGAACTAGAACAAGTTAATAAATAAGAAAATAAATTATAACTTTTTCCCTACCAAAAAAACTATTTTAGGTTATTAACATCAATAGAAACTTTATCTTTGTTTGGATACAAACATAAGAGGTAAAGTATCTGGTGCCACGTTCTGGTAGCACATTTAAAAAGCATAAGTGTTAGTTCCACACAAGTTGTAGCCTTTCGGGATGGATACTCTAGATAAGTATCTAATGCTACAGTATCATGTTCTGACTCACGTAGTTCCCTTTAACTGGTCATAAGACACTATCACATTACAAACCAGACAAACTTCAGTGCTCTAGGACCAATCAGCCCTTTACAGAACAAAAATTCACATGGAAAACCCTTAATACCACACATGCATTCTTTTCAAGTTTGAGTAAGACAAACTGAGATCGTGCAAATATAACATACGCTCTATCTTTGTTTGAAAAGGCACATTTAGGCCGTCTTAAATGTGCTTAATGTTTTGTTTCCAGTGTTAAAAATAAATGGTTTAAATGAAAAGAGCATCTGCAGGAGGTCAATTTAATCTTCAGTAGGCAACAAGAGCTGCTGTGGAGATGACAGATGAGGTTACTTGTCCACTGATCCAATATTCTTATAAATATACAAAACCTCTTCAGATCAGCCTTGGAAGGGAGCAGTCTGCAGGATAAGACTTTTCTGTCAGTTACGTGGTTTTACTTGGTGAAACCAAACATTTGGTTTTATTTTTCCGTTGAGGCTGCTGCCATGGCTGGTTTCATGCCCTCACGTGTTGACTTCAGCTCCTCCAGTTCTGTGTTCAGTTTGCTGATCACCCACTCCAGGGCATCCCGACCCTGCCAGAAAAAATACTGGAATTCAGGATCAGAACAGATACACCATCACTGCTCGTGTTTATATAGTTTTTCCTCTGTCAGACATGGGACTTGTTTTAAAATTAATTTCATGCCCTGCATAATTTGGTACAGATTATAACGATCATTTCTTACCATCTTCTCATGGAAACTTCACTGAAAAGGCATTTGTTTAATCCCTAAGACAGAAGTTCACTACTGTGAGCTCCCAGTAGCACACCTAGGCAAGAAGCCTAAATCAGCAGTTAAGTTTCCATACCTAAGAGGATCTCTGTTTTTACTGTTTGCTGCTCCCAACACTGAAAGAATATTGGTAGATTTACGGCAAAATCTAGATGTTGTTTTCAGATTCATTAACCAAGTTATGTGGACTGTTTTTGAGAAGAGCCAGGACAAAGAAAGTCTTCCAAGTCTCTCTGAAGTAGCAACTAAGTGGTCTGATATCTGTCAAGAGTTCAGAAGTGGACTCACACTGAATTCTATATTCCTGCACAGCAACACTTCAGCACCTAAACCGCACTAATTGAGAGACTAGAGTTGCACATTTTATATCAAGGTATGATCTTTCCCTGTTCAGTCCTCAGAATGGGAGTGCCCCAAAGCTATGAACTGACAGTCAGTGCTTTAGTAAGAGCTGGAGAACCCAGCACAATGAGCCTGTCAAAAACCTTTTACCTTAAGAAGACCCTACAGCAGCTGCATCCCGATGACCACAAAATGCAGCCAGCTGCACAATGAAGCCAAGAAAATAAGAAGTACTTTAACTAAACAGAAGTGCAAGATTTCAGAGCTCTGCAATCAGAATAGCAGCTTTCGCCAAAGCAAGCAGATGGGATCAGATCAGGAAACCACTTGGCCTCTTTTCACTTAAAGAGAGGTCAGGAGACAATCACCTCTATTACTCTCCTAAGAATAATAAGCATGGGGGAGTCACATGGCTCTGGCCAAGTCTAGAGTTCTGCAGATAAAGGTTTGAGCCTCAAAAGTCCAAAATCTTCATGAGAGCAAGTCTCGGTATTCAAGCCCTCTGTAGAGACTGATAGAAAGGAGGGGAACATCCTTCTCCACACACAGTTTTGTTCCACACTGTGATGTACTAATTTTGTTGCATCCATTACAGGTGATAAAGTGCACAGAAATCTCATAGTCTCCAGAACCTGCTGTTTTCTTTTATGAACCACTAAACACGAACAAGAATCTGCATAAGCAGCTTTGAAAACCTAAGGAAAAAAAGTGTCAGAACAACACACATATACTCTTGAAGGGTTTTTTTTACAGGCTAGAAACATTACTCTGGAATAATATCAGAAGCTCCAATCAAGGCTGCGAGGTGTAACCTCTTAAAAGAAATAAAGTTTTACTAAGAATAAGAGCATATTTATCTCAAGCCCTAACTAAGCTTGGTGAAGAGCTGACTCTGTTTCTCTTTGGGTTTTCCATATAAATGAGAATAAACACTAATTGTTACATCTGCACTGGCAGCCAGTCCTTAGACTGAGAAAAGTCTAGCAGGTATCAGAATAAAGTGCTCAGCTCTCAGTCAGAGCTCATAAAGGGAGATTCAGCTCCACCCCAAATTACCTCAAGAACTGGTATGTTTAAGTTAACTTAGTTCAAGATACACCTTTATTTACTTATAATATTGAAAAAAGCATGATTTAAATTGTCTGACTGAAACATGGGTTGCTGAAGAAGACCCTAGAAGGGGATGATTTAACTTCTGAGGTCTTTCCATTTGAGCATGAAAGCAACTGTTCTTCAGCAGGTGATAACTTCCACCTTCTCCACACGCTGTGCAAGACCTGGGAACACCAGCAAAGCAGGCATAAAACCGCCCAGACAGGGGCAGGCTACTGCATAGCAACAAGTCCTAACTAGCCGTGAATTAGCTGAGAGGAGTGCTCCTAAGGAAAAATCGGGAAGGGGGAGGGTTAGGGAGAGAAGAGGAATCATCTTTCAGTAAGCTGGCATTTGGACATTTAAAAGTCAGGTTTAAATGTCCTCTCTGAGGTGGCACAGGCACAGAGAACTGAGTGAGACAGCAACAGCTTAGATGTTATATTTGTCTAACTGCACAAAGAAGACTTTGTCAGGAAGTCAAACATCCCTGCCACAGAAAATGTGCAGTAGAAAAAGGCTGAGATTCTTCTCTGGCCCTGACTATGAAATAATCACGTCATTGTGTTTTATTTGATATCTTTGTTGATAAGATTAAATAATTTTTAAAAATCCACAACATTCAACTGGAGCACTAAGATATTTCCTTCAGTTTTTGAGACTACGTAGGTCTGTGTATGTCCTTAGACTCACATATACTGTATGCTATATTTTGCAGCTAAGAATAAACTCGTGATATTGGCAAGGAAGATTTCAGGAATATTCTGCATAGGAAATGAAGTCAGAAATCTCAACCAGATGCAAAGCCTCCAAGTATTATAAAATCATCCAGTTATCAGAAAAAATCTGACAGAGGACTGGTCTATAAAATTTCATATTGTACAAGTTCTCTAGTAAGTCATTAAGCAAGCACATTCATAACCAGGCATGCATATTGTATTAGTCATTATTGCATATGTCAGCAGCATGAAGTGTCTGGCAGAACAAGCGCTGCATATGAAGATTTGTTGGTAGAGCTTAAGTGACTGATAAATGCTGAGCCTTTTTAGTTGATGTTTTCCAGAAAAACAGCTTAGTGGAATGAGAACTTAAAAGCAAACACTCATGGCATACACAGATTTCAAAGTAAGCACTGTAGAAAGCCCTACTTTCTTAACTAGGAGAAGCAGCATAATGGATATTTTTTTTTTTAAGAAATCTTATTAGTTGAAGCACAAGCCAATACAGGAATGACAAGGACAAGCTACACTGACTAGTAGAAGGAAAACAATTTGCACAGAGGTATCACAAGAGGCAAGTACACTCAGTTCTCTCAACCCTGAAGTCAGATTTGTTCTGACTTCATCACTGCAGGGACATGTCACCACCGAAATGAATATAACTACAAGACCAGTGAAGAGCAGGAACAGTCTGGCACCCTGACAGCTTCAAGCTTTGTACAGATTTCCTCAGAAGGGCAACAATGTTCCCCAGGCATAAGAAAAGCAAATACAATTCTGCTATGCAAAAGATTACCCCTGCTAGGCAACCTGTTTCAAGAAATCAGTTTTATAACCAATTAGTGAGCCAATTCCACTCACTAACCAATTTATTAATTTCTTTGGGTACCAGATTTATTTACATGCTGAAATCACAGAAACTAGGACCAGATCAAACACTTTGTGGACAGACTCCTTCACATCCCCGGTTGTCTGCAGTCGTCATCATTCCACTTTCAAACCATAAGCAAGATTGTGTGGCACAAGACATGGCTGCAGCAAGTTGGTTGTCCAGTGGCATAAGCACAGGTTCATGGATCCAGTCTGGATTGGACCTACTCTCACCCTCTACAACTGCAGTGTAATGAATGTCTGCCATTCCTGTATGCAGTGTGTGTAAAACATACATGCAGGTTAACTTATGAAATCCACGTGCCAACAATCCATGCACATATTTGCTAGAAAGCTGAAGTGCTGTACCAAGAAGAATGCTGGCATTACCACTAGTTAGTACAAACTGTAGGTGTGGAGAACTGTTAGCTTAGAGCGCTTTCAGAATTTTGAATTATCCACTCAATAGCATCCCACCCCTGGAGTAACACAAAAAAGATTTACAACACATGGCAAATGATGTTTCCATTGTCATTAAAAATAATAAGGTGTCATCTGCCACCTCTACCTCAGAGCAAACTCTCAATAATTCCAATTTCTTCAGAAAAACAAAACATTTTTCAGCAACTTTCATGAAGTTTAAGAGGAGTGCTAAGAGCACAGAGGCACAGCACAGCATGCAAGAAGAGCTCGTAGCAGCACAGTAGGTTACTGGCTAGCAAAGAAAGGGCTGGTAACAGCAAGTACAAATTCCTGCTAAGTTAAAAATCTGTAGAGACTTCTCAGTGAAACACACAGGACAACAAAGTCTTTCTGGTTTGCAAGAAGCTTGTGAGCCAGCGTGTTCCTTGAAAATGGTAGAACAGAACAATCTTTGAAAGAAATTGAGCTTTCACACAGGCAACACCTGAACAGACACCAAGAAATATCTACACTCTTTATCCAAGTTCAACAGAGACATGCAAATGAGACAGATGCCACGAGAGGAATTCAGACAGTGTTTTTGAGTGTGCCTAGTTAAGTGGACGTGCCAGCTAGCTGGAGCTGTGCCCTCCACAGACTTTTAAATGGAGACCAGATCAGGACAGAACTGTAATTTAATTGAAATACATTCCATTAGAGAAAGGAGGCTTTCTCCTCTCTGATCTAGTTGTTCCATGTCTCTTATCAAGTTGGCTTACATTGTCTTGGTCAAGCAAAATCTTTCACAATGACAAAGGGCTGGCCAAAGCACAGGCTCTCCAGCATAGCAGGAGTTACCTGGGCCAGATTCCCATTGTGCTGAGCTTCTCCAGTAATGCAGAGCACAAACTCAAATTCCAGGTGCACTCATCCTGCTGTTAGGCAGCAAGGCCTATGCTGCTCTAGCAACTCCATTTCTTCCCCAAACAACTACAGGACAAAGTGCCCAAGCATTCCCATAGCTCTGCCTGTGCAAGCACAAGACAGAGGAGTCAGTCTAGTGTTACCTAGGAGAGCCAGCACAGTCTCACCTCTTCAAAGAATATGCTTCTGCTTACACTACATTACTTTCAGCCAAAGGCAAGGAGACAGCTGAATAATGGATAGTAATTAGAACTGACAAAGCAGCACAGAAAATATGCTGGCATTAACCGATAAATCCAGATTATAAAGGCTGAAAGTGAAGTTACATTCTTTACTAGCACTAACTCCCGGAAATAGGAGGTTAGTGTTTAAAAACGTACTGCAGATAAAAAACAAAACCCAACTAACAAAATGTATATTCTATACGCAACTGTAGCATACATACAGAAGCTTGTTTGTTCTGCTGTGCAATTCTAGTTAAAAAACAAAGATTCAGTAGCGACACCTCTTCATACTGTGGGAAATTATATTCTACTTACTGAGGTCCTACAAAAACCAGTTGAAATGCTGTACATAAAATTTAGATAATTTAAATACAGCATTCAACACACACAATTGACTATTACTATTTCAACAAAAAGAACAATGGAGTGGGTGGAGAGAGGGAGAGAACAGAATAAAGATGTACCTTTCTGGCATTAGAAGATATTGTGTTCGCCATTAAGCTTTCCAGATAACTGCTCAAGCTAATGCCTTTAACAGTAATAATTGCTTCTTGAGTTAGCACAGTTCTGTAACAGAATAAAGAAAGGTTAATACCTAAACTGAACTGGACTAACTTAATGTCTCCTATCCACAAAGATGCACACAAATATCCTTACTTACTTCTCAGGGTTTTCAGGATGAGGCGTGTAAACCAGTCTCTCATCAACAGATACCAAGTTTGTGAGAGTAATCTTAAAAAGAAAACAAGAGCTGAAATCCTCACTTCCCACCTTTCATTTTTCTGTTACCAGCAGCACTACTATAGTGCACTCAGTTGAGTGTCAGCAGTGTAAGCAGAATATAGAACTCAGAACACAGTCAATAAAAAGACCTATATAGGGTGATGCACCTTCTCCTATTCTCGACCTAATTACATCAAAGTTCCTGTTCACATTTGTACAAAACACAAGTAGCTTTCTCTGAATCTCCAGTCTGATTTATGGCAAGCAGTTTAGAGAGGCTCTTCAAGACCAAGACCACAATACCACTACTTGGACTATACAGAAAATTAATACTCATGAAAGAGAATGCCTCCTGTACACAGACAAGGCTCTCCTACAGACAACCCCATTTTAAATCTGATAGTTATGAGTTCCAAGGATACCAAAATATAGCCTAATACTTCATTTACATTTTATGAAAAAAAGGCATTTCACATTGAAACTTTTGTTGTAACTTCTGTTGTAACTAATGGCAGTGTAATGTATAACAACTCATTGATCTAAAAGTCAAACTATTTTACATGCATTCCAAGAAATAATTTTGCATTAAAAACAGAATCACAAATGTCTGATCCTGAAGTATTTAAATTTCCTATATGTGAGAAGAAAGAGAGGAAAAAAAAGAGTCATCCAAGACACTAAGATACGGAAATTATTACCCTCTGATGAACGATGCAAACACATTTCTAATCTAAATGTTAAGAGCAAAACATCTAACTTCCAGAACTAATTACCAGAAACTTTTTAAGCCACCACTCACATTAGTTGAGCAAAGCTCCATCTTTTTTTCCACTGGATCTACCACAGAATGTTCCTCAATGTAAGTCAGAGTTCTACTTGTTCCTAAAATCTGAAGGCAAAAAAAAAAAAAAGTTAAGTACCGAAATTAAACAAACAAACTGAACCTTGAAACTCATAAAGGCCATGTTCTCAGTGACCCCAAATAAATCCAGAGTAATTCATAGATACCAGACAACCGTGACGTGTGGCAAGACTTCACCCTGGTAGATTGTATCAGTCCTACAGCATGGCACAGACCAGCCCGGGAGGCATTTACAGACATACACACATTATGGGCATAATAAAGTTTACAAAGTATTCTCATCACCAAGAATGCTGCTTGTACCCTGTGTGACACCTGTGGATGACATTTCCTAGGGACTGAGCTTTTATTGTGAATTCAGCTCCAATTCAGACAATGACACAAAAGTGTACCACACCCTTGATAAAGCATGAAGACTGAAAACATACAGCTTTTACAATACTTGGCAATCCCCACTCTGTGCTGAGAAGACGGTGACTGTGCAACCTCCCCTGGTTATCAAGGCTTCTGTCAAGGACATCTACTCCTACCACACATGGATTCATCGGATTGGGATACTTCCTCATAGCAGCTTTGATCACTGTATCCCAGGGATGTCTGTAAAAAGAAGGGGAGAGAATGTTTGTAACTATTTTGTATTCAATCACAAGTATTCAAACAATACTAAATCAGGATCTAGTTTGTGTGATATGGCACATGCAGTACAACTTTATAGCTTCCAGAAGTCAGAATACAGTTATGCTTGGAAGGGCAATAAGAAAGTATTGACGCACAAACAGAAAAAAAAAAATTAATTCTACTTTCCAGAGTGAAAAAAAGAATTATTAACCAAAAACTAACAGAAATGAGGGCAAGAGGCAACAGATGCTAATTGCTAAAAGTGACATTCCAATTAGGTGGGCAGAAACCTCTCACTGACAGGGCAGCTGCCCACAGAGATTGTTGAAATCTCAATTCATTCCAGAACTCAACCAGGAAAACAACCTGACCTCACACTTCAGTTTGTCTTGCTTTGAGAAGAGGGCTGGACTAGATGACCTGTGGACTAGAAGTTCACTCCAACATAAATTCCTCTATAATTCTAAGCACACCAAATAAACTGAAGTGGAAACCATTAGCTTCCTATAGCAAAAAAGGCAAAGTGAAATTGAATTAAACAACATGAAAAAAATTATCAAGAAGTTCAAAATAAAGAAACAGATTTTTAGAAACCACATCAGCTCAACAGCCTTATGTCTGTACCTGTACTACTGCTTCCAGCAGTTTGTTAGCATGAATTACACTTATGGATACTCTTCTCAGTACAGAACTGTTTTTATGAAACGAGTTTTGATAATCTCAAACCCCTGGGATCACAGCAGCCCTGCTATTCAAGGCCGGGCTGTCCACATCGCTCTTTTTCTTCTGAAACACAGGAGGCTACAGAAATCATGGACTTCATCCACTACAGAAATTCTGTCCCTAAGTAGTTATTTCTATATTCAGAATAACTGACTGATCTGCAATGATAAGTTTATAACCTTTAAAGGTATGTTTAAAAATTCAACAATTGGTATCTAACTTAAGAAAGATTAGGAGTGCCAACTTGTACTTAAGACTTGCACTTAGGGCCCTAAATGGATTTTATTTTTGACAACACTGCTTTTAGTCTTAAAATAAACTGGCACAGAAGGGCACCAACAGTACAGCACTGCAAGAACAAACAAAAACTTGGAAAAATAAGTTCTTTTTCCAATAAGAAAAGCATTAGAAAGCTTTATTAGTGCAGGAAGAAAAAATAAGAGCCCTCCATTCCTACAGCAGAAAGAGGGGATTGTTCCTTGTTATCTTCAGAGACTATTCATCTCCTTTAACAGAAGATACACAAACTGAAAATGTCAAATTTCTGTCAAGTGTCCCTGAGGGATTGAGTCAGAGATGTGATAAGGCTCAACAATATTTTATTAACCATTCAACTGAACTACCTACACCTCCACACCTTATGCCATAAGATGGGGGTGTTCTAATACAGATCTTGACAAGAAAATGACAAAAATAGCTTTTGTGTTCCCTAGGCGACAGATACTCATCTCAAACTCAGAAGCTGTGCCGTGCACTAGCAGCCTTTAATTCCCTCTGCCTGACATTTCATGTCAGAAGCTGCAGTTCACTTACACCAGACCGATGATGAAGTTGAGCCCCGAACAACTACATCAGTGCTACGAATTTTGCTGACGTAATTAAATAAGTTTAAAGCGACACATCTGGGATATTCTGTAAATATTTTAAGAACTGTCACCCTCGGTGCTATTCAGGCTTCCAAAATTTATTTTAAGACCCTGTAGCAGTCGAATCAGAGGTGGTGGTGGCATCAAAAAGAGCTGCATCCTCCACGCCTGCTCCCCGACACAGCCTGTCACACACCTGTTGATAATTTTCCGGGTTGTTCCCTCGTTGCACAAGGGTGGAACTGGATGGACAGGACCACGTCCAATGCAGAAAAGCATTAATGAGAAGGAAACTTACTGAGGGAACTGGGCACCTCAGGCTGCTGGGCACCTCAGCGGGAGTTCCCGGCAGGTAAGGTACACAGCCGCCCTGTCCATACCTTTTGGAATGTATCATCGACTACGTCAGGAGTTTGAGATCATTTTTTCTGTAGTGTGAAAGTTATTTTTCCTTGAACACCCATCCCTCTATCGAGCCATCACGCTGCCGGGCCGGCTCCACAACTCTGCCCTGTTGGAATGCTATTCCCGAGGTGCTGGGAGCCCTGGTGCGGGGTCTGGCCGCGCAAGAAAGAGCCCGAGGCGATGCAGGACCGGCACGGCCGGGGCCTGCCCGCGGCCTCTCCTCCTCCTCCTCCTCCTGCGGCCGCGCCCGCGGCATTCCCCGTTTCCGCCGTCACCCCGGCGGGGCTCGATTACACCGCGTCGCCCGGCCTGGGGTCTCGCCGCGCCCCCCTTCCCCCATCCCTCCTGCCCGGCCCCCTCACCCGAACACGTGCTCCGAGCTCCAGATCTTCATGGCCGCTCGCGGTGTGTCCCCTCAGAGCCCGGTGGGAAAGGCGGGAAGACGGCGGGAGCGGCTCACGCTGGACCGACCGACTGACGGCTTCGCGCGGCCCGGGCGAGCTGCAGCGGCCGGGGGCGGGGCGGGGCGGGGCGGGGCGGGGCGTGCCCGGGCCGGCGCGCGCGTCACGCACACGAGTCATCGCCCCGCCCCGCCCGCCGTGGTGGAGGAGGATGAGCGGCACTGCGCGTGCGCGAAGCCTGGCGCCGCGCTGGCCGGGCTGGGCCGTGGAGTCGCAGCGTTAAGGAATATTCTGGTTTGGGTGTGACCCACAGGGGTCAGAGAAGTCCAGCTCCCGGCCCTGCGCAGGACACCTCAGGAATCATACCATGAGCCTGAGAGTGTTGTCCAAATGCTTCTTGAACTCCGTCAGGCTTGGTGCTGTGATCATTTTCCTGGGGAGCCCGTTCCAGTGCCCAGCCGTCCTCTGAGTGAAGAGCCTTTTCCTAATATCCGACCTAACCTCCCCTGACACAGTTTGCCCTGGAAAGGTGCAGCCTGAGAAAGCAGTTCTGCATTAGCATTGATTGACTGATCCCCCTGCCCCTCACAAACCCTCACCACCAGCTCCTCAGGACAAGAGAGACATGGAGCTCCTGGAGCGGGTCCAGCGGAGAGCAACACAGATGATTAAGGGTCTGGAGCATCTATCTCATGAGGAAAGGCTGAGGGAGGTGAGCCTCTTCAGCCTCAAGAAGAGATGACCATGTCAATGTCTAGAAGTATCTAAGGGGAGGGTGCCAAGAGGATGGAGCCAAGCTCTTCTTGATGGTGTCAAGCTACAGGATAAGAGAACAAGCAAGAACTGATGCACAGGAAGTTCCATCTGAATATGAAGAAGAACTTCTTTACTGTGCCAGTGACCTCACACTGGAACAGAGCCCAGAGAGGTTCTGGAGTCTCCCTCACTGGAGATATTCAAGAACCATCTGGACACGATCCTGTGCCATGTGCTCTAGGATGACCCTGCTTGAACAGGGAGGTTGGACCAGATGACCCACTGTGGTCCCTTCCAACCTGACCCATTCTGTGATTCTGTGAACTACCAGCATAGGAGTTTTGCTTTAAACATGCTAATAACAGCCATGGTTGGGGGTGACACCTGCCAAGCTCATTGTGTGCGGGGCTGTGCCCAGGGGTGAAGTGATTGTTGAGGAATACAGCTGGTTTAGGTAGCTCAGTTTGTAAGCAGCAGATTGAGCTCTGGGTGAGAACCTGAGACAAGAGACCATGACATGCCAAACCTTTACATAACAAAGGGCACAAAGACCAGTGGCAGAAACCAGGTGAATGGACACTGGGAAACACCAGGAGGAAGAGAGACTTGTGGGCAGCTAGGACTGTGAGGGGATAAAAGCCCAGGGGTTCCTTTGTTGGGGGTCCATCCTCAGATGCACCAGCTAGGGTTGTTTCTGTGTTACTGCACCATGAATAACTTGCTTTATGGAAGTAGACACCTGAGACTCTGCTGAGGGAAACCTAGGGTCGAACCGGTAAGGAAACGTGACCTGACTGGATATGATGGGACGTGTGGGGAATCAAGTGGGGCAGCTGTGGGCTCAGTGGAGCTGCCCACTGTGAACAGGCTCAGTCCCAGCAGTAACAGTGGCCTTGGAAGTGTGACTGCCCGAGTGTAGTGAACGGTCAGACTGGGATGTTTCCTCAACAGTGATGACGCCAAAAGCCCGAGTTCACCTGGAGGACTTTGCACAGAGTAATTCTACAGCGAACACATCAATATGAAATGCCCTACATAGTGGGGGAAAAACAGGACACAAGTTTTTCTACTTCTCATCACCAGGACACTGTCACAGGGTAAACTGGCCCCAGCAGCGGGGGAACCCGCCCTGCTGAGCGGCGCCAGCCAGGCTGGGCTGGGCTGGGCTGGGCTGTGCCCTGCCACGTCACCCCTGCCCTTGACTCAGCAAAGGGATCTGGACAAGCTGGATAGATGGACCGAGGCCAATGGCATGACGTTCAACAAGGCTAAGTGTCGGGTCCTACCCTTTGGCCACAATAACCCCAGGCAGCACTGCAGGCTAGGGGCAGAGTGGTTGGAAAGCAGGCCAGTGGAAAAGGACCTGGGAGTGCTGGTCGAGAGCAGCTGAACATGAGCCAGCAGTGTGCCCAGGTGGCCAAGGAGGCCAATGGCATCTTGGCTTGTATCAGAAATAGTGCGACCAGCAGAACAAGGTAAGTGATTGTCCCCCTGTGCTAGTCATTGGTGAGGCTACACCTCAAATACTGTATTCAGTTCTGGGCCCCTCAGTTCAGGAAGGACATTGAGGTGCTGAATCAGGCCTAGAGAAGGGCAACGAAGCTGGTGAAGATTCTGGAACACAAGTCCTATGAGGAGCAGCTGAGGAGCTGGGTTGTTTAGGGTGGAGAGAAGGCTCAGGTGTCTGTATCACTCTGCAAGTACTTGGAAGGATGTTGTAGCCGGGTGGGGATCGGTCTCTTCTCCCAGGCAACCAGCGACAGAACGAGAGGACATAGCCTTAAGCTGCACCAGGGAAGAGTTGGACATTAGGGAGAATTTATTTACAGAAAGAGTGCTTGGGCATTGGCTGCCCAGGGAGGTGGTGGAGTCATTGTCCCTGGAGGTGTTTAAGGAGAGACAGGACGTGGGACTTAGTGCCATAGTCTAGTTGACATGGTGGTGTTCCGGTCACAGATCGGACTCGATGTCTCGGAGCTCTTTTCCACCCCAATTAATTCCGTGACTGTGGGACCGACTCTGTCACAAGCGCCGGCCCAGCCCCGGGGGGGGCGGGGTTCAGGCTGGTGACGGCGGTGGGCGTGGCGACAATGACGTAACGTTCGCTCCGCCCCGAAGGGCGGGGCTCCTCCCGGGGGGCGGGGCTCGGGGTCGCCCTTCGGACGCAGCGGAAGTGCCCGGGCGGCGCGATGACGTCAGGGCCCGCGGCCCGGCGGTGACAAGGGGCGGCCATGGCGCACCGGTACCTGCTGCTGGCGGGGGGCGGCCGCCGCCGGGGGTTGCCCGCGGCCCCGCTGCACCAGCTGCTCTGCGGGAGGGGCCTGCTGGGCAGGGCGCGGCCCTGTCTGGCGCAGGTGAGCAGCGAGCGCGGGGGGCGGGAGAGGGTCGCGGTTGGCGTGGCGGCGGCAGCGGGCGGGCCCGGCGCGGGGAGGGGCGCCCCGCTGCCCGGGACTGGGGGCTCCTCGCTGCGCCCCGCTGTCCTCCCTGGCTTGTCTTCATCCTGTTCAGCGGAGGCGGCCCCCGGCCTGTTCGCTACCGGCCCTTCGGGCGGCGGGGAGCCAGGGCCGGGAGGTGTGTGGGCGGGTGGGCCTGAGCGGGGTGCACCCCGAGCCGGTAGCGGCACCGGGTCCGTGCGGGACAACCTGCGGGCACCGCGGGCTCCTGGGTCCTCTTACTGAAGGAATATGCAATGGCACCCCAGAGCTGCTGCTGCATCCCTCCGGTATTCATAGGATCATAAAGTGTTAGGAGTTGGAAGGGGCTTTAAAGATCATCTCGTTTCAACTTCCCACTATAGTGGGCAGGGACACCTCCCACTAGACCAGGTTGCTCAGAGCCCCATCCGGCATGGTCTTTGAACACTGCCAGTGTTGGGACATCCACAACTTCTCTGGGCAACCTGTTCCAGTATCTCACCACCCTCACAGTATAGAATTTGTGCCTAATATCTAACCTAAATGTCCCCTTTTTCAATTTGTACCCATTGCTCCTTGTCCTGTCACTACAGTTCCTGATGAAGAGTCCCTCTCCAGCCTCCTTGTAGAGGCCCCCTTCAGATACTGGAAAGTTGCTGTGAGATCTCCATGCAACCTTCTCCAGGCTGAACAGCCCCAGTTTTCTCAGCCTGTCTTTTCAGGGGACGGTTCTCACTTCCCAAGTGCTGTGTCCCACCTAACTTAAAAGTTCCTCCGTTGCTTTCTCAGGGTGATGATTCGTGTTAGGTGGGTTTGTGGCTGTGTGAGAGACTGAAATGCTGAAGGTTAATGACTCTGAGCGGTTTATTTGGGTTGGCACTGTTGGAAAAGAGGAGGCTGGTGGCCGCTTGACTGCACAGTGCTGTGGATCTGAACCTACTGTTCTGGGATTAACGGGTAAATTATCTGGTAAATCATGATGGCTCGGTGTTCATTCTTACTAAAATGGCCTTTATGTTCGCTAGTACAAGATGTGCATTACCCTCGTTGACAGCCCTAACATACTGGAGGAATGACAGGCCTGTGCTGCTGCTTGGGAAAAGGGAGATGCTTAATTCCAGCATCTTCCAGTGGCATCTCGGGAGGGTTGCTTTGTTTTCCCATAGAGTGGTGAACAATCAGGCGTTTGTAGGTGTGGAGGTTATCACCAGGATAGTGGTAGTTGTGAGATGACTACACAGAAGGATGCTAATAATGTAGTAGTCCCCAGTACGAATATGTGGCTCAGTTTTAATGTTGAATTTGTGGTTTTGTTTGGTCAGAGCTGAACATCATTACAGCAATAAGTAAAACACTGTCAGCAGTGCTGCTAATCCCTCAGGAAGCTAATTCTTCTTTCTTTCAATAAAATTTAATGAGTTTTTATTTGGAATTGAATTTAGGAAGGGGATTTTGTATTAATTCTAGCATCTGGCTCTGTGTGTAGGCAGCAAAACAAGAAACTTTGTTTTCATAAAAGCCATTACTTTTTTTAATTGATCTTTCTTTTAAAAAAAGTTAGCAGCTTGGAATCATAAGAAAGGCTTGGATTAGAGAGGACCTTAAAGATCATCTAGTCCCAACCCCCCTGCCCTAGGCAGGGGTGCCACTTATTAGACCAGATTGCTTAGAGCCCCATCCAACCTGGCCTTGAACAGTTACAGGGATGGGGCATCCACAGCTTCTCTGGGCAGCCTGTTCCAGTGCTTCACCACCCTCTGAGTAAAGAATTTCTTCCTAGCATCTAATCTGAATCTCTACTCTTCTAGTTTAAAAACATTCCCCCTTTTCCTATCGCTGTCTGCCCTTGTAAAAAGTAACTTGCATTAAGTTGAATTTCTTTACCAACTCTTTGTTGTGTCCGT